TTGCATTTTATCTGAAGATAGATAATTCAACACAACAAATATTACTGATAATTTTGAAAAACACAGTTTTCAGCATGAATATTTGAAAAAATCACAGCCTACTTACAATACAAAGTCATAAGTTTCCACAGAATACAGTGGAAAACAAATGGATTTTGTTGGAGAAAAAATGGAAGATAGGAGACCGATTTATCCAATTTTCTCTCAAAATGTTCATATGGAAAAAAAGTTCACACAAAACAGAACACTGAGTCAGATGCTACAAATGCAATACGCATATATACAGACGGTTCAAAAACCAAAGGAGGCTCAGATCACTAACCTAAGGATTAAGTGGGGAGTAGGAAAAAATACCAGAACTGGATGGTATCACAGGAAAGGAATTTCTGGCAAAAACAAAACAATCTGCACTGATAGCATACAAGCTCTATTAGCCTTGAACAGACAACGTGTAACCTCAGAGCTAGTACTAGAGTGCCACCAAGATTTAACCAAAGCCTCGGTAGATAATAACATTATCCTGAGGTGGGTTAAAGGGCACGACAGGAGTGAAGGTTATCGCATTGCCGACTCTTTAGCCAAGGAAGCGGCTGGACTAGGAATTTTAGGACCCAGTGGCATCTACGGCCTGATGACATCGACAATTGCGGAACTAGCCAAACCCATGCTCAATCCCTACAGAGATGGGTAGAAATCAAAGGATACAATGAGCGACCCTGGGAAGCAGGCGCCGAAGAAATATCTTCTGGCGATGACCAGGAAAAATCTACCCCTAACAGTAGGATATCTGACTGGCCACTCTTAACTAAGGAAACACCCCCATGCAGGATGTTTGAACAGGAAGATGAAACTGTCAGGCATGTCCTATGCGAACGTCCGGAGTTCTCGTCAATAAAAGAGTGTGTGTTCGGCGAGTCTTGGCCTATACACCAGCCGATTTGAAAGAAATGTCTCTCAGAGACCTGCCCACCTTCATGGAAAGGACGATGACCTAGGAGGACAACTCCTTGGGAAAATGTACAATGGGTCACATGTGTCCTAAGTGCTGTGGAACTACACTTACCCTTTCTGCTCTACAGATACAGATGGGTTCATACAAAAGTTGTGGAACTCTATACTGCCTACAACTTTTTCGTTTAACTTCTTCCAATAAACGGTTTAGATTTAGTTGAAATACTACCTCTACAATTTACTCCACTTCACCCTCATATGCTTTGGACCTTCTTTGATTTATTTTTTCTTAACGAGAGCACTGCGAGGTCTGTTATAGTTATTAACGTTACAAGGTCGATCTGAAGCAGATAACGGATGAGGTTGAATATTGTATTTTTCCCCAACTTTGCAGGGTAAGAAATAGAAATTGATAAATAAAACTATTCTCATGCTGTTTCTTTGTACCACAACAAAATTCATTTGCATTGGCCTAATGGTACAAAATGGGAAATAAAATGCTATAAATTACCGATGTTGGCTGAGGCTGATTTCATGTCCGAAAGTTTTATTGCACAGTTCACAAGCAAACGGTCTCTTGCCGTTATGAGATCTCCTAGCGTGAACCTCAAGTCCGTGGGGCGTTGAAAACATTTTCTCGCACTTGATACAAGAATAAACGTCTCCGATAGGCATCATCCCGGGCCTCATCAGAAGATGGTGGTGATGTGGATGAACCGCGGAAGGATTGTTCAAGAGATGATGCCTGAGCCTGTAAAGCTCGTCAGCAGTTGGTGGGGCCGGATAATGTCCTGGTTGTGCATGGCCACCAGCCATGGCTGCAGCTACAGCGCTGAAGTAGAGTGACGTGGGGGTTGGTAGGAAACTCCTCTCCTCGCCGTCCTTCTGTTGGTACAGCCCGTGCGGAAAGAGTCCCGGATGAACGAAGTTCCTGGGCAGAAAATGCGAGGTGTACTCCTGGGCTGACTTGAGCTGGGCGTCTTTCATCAGATCAACGAAGGGCGGGTAGAGATAGGACCGCGTCACCGAAATAGTCTCTTGGAAACATGGGCTGTCGACCTTTTTCGGGTTGTCCGGCCTTAGCAAAGCGCTGACTGAGAACGCTTCTGATTTTTTGCTGGAAGATTCTATTTTCTGGATATCGGTGATCGACGGTGGTCGTTGGAAGGGGGAGTTTGACCTCGAGTGCACTGGAGAGTCCACTTCTAGTTCTGGTGACGGACTTGGCGAAGGTCTTGGTGATTGGCTGTCCCATCTTTTGTCGCTGCTGAACCTTGGCGACATTCGTTCATCACCGCTGTAGTAGCTGCTCTCGTCTTTGTGGTAGTATTTGGAGTTGTTCACGCTTCCCTGTTCTTCGTCGTCGTCCGATTTTGAGACCAATCGGCTGATACCGAATTTGATGGGTTCTGTAACAGAAAGAGCATTACTGTGATAAATTGCATCATCATACCATATCCTAGGAAGTGGCCATACAAATTTCGAACGAATTTTCTTAAAACTAAAATTGATTGGGAAAAAAAATGTTTACAAATATTGCCAAGGCATTTGGCCGAACTATAGCCGAACTATAGCCTTCTATCGTATGTCACCCCTATTTGGAATAACGCAATCAAGAAACATGGAGAATCAAGAATCAAGAGCTGCCTCGTCATTCCATTTGGATTCCAGGACATCGGCTACGGAGACACATCTTCACCGGAAGCAGGAGGTTGCATATCTAGAAGTGATTTCGAATCGGCGTGAAAGTAATCGGATTCAATTCAATGCCACAAACCGGATATAATAATATCAGGTCACACAATTCCGCTTTCTGCTTCGATGTTAGTTGGAGGTTAAAATGGACACCAATATGTATTGACACAATCATGTCGCTGGAATTGCAAAGGCTGCTTCTCAGAAGTTCGGAACACTGTTCCGAACCAAAAAACTGTACACACCTCAACATCTTTTGATGCTTTATAAAGTTCAGATCATATTTTCTTTGGAGTATTGTTCTCATATATAGAGCTCTGCCCCGAAACATACTCTGAAGTTGCAGGATTCCATTCAGAAGAGAGCTATCCGCCTGATTGGAGACGCGAACATTACGTGCAACATCGGAGAAAGGTTGGAGATTTGTCTCTCTTCTATGGATACTTTCACGGGAAGTGTTCAAGTGACTTGGCACCTTTGATTCCACTAAGAGCATTTCATTTCAGAAATACGCAACGCACTGTGGCTGCTCATCGTTTTGAGGTTCACCTCAGTACACCTCGAACTTCACTGTTCAAGAACTCTTCCATCTGGAGAACTGCGTTTATGTGGAATAAACTTCCCGGGCTCGTTTTTCCAAATGGATTTAATCTCCAGCGATTCAAATCCAATGTGAATCGCTACTTTCGCACAGGCACCGCTCTGAGAGCACCTTGAGGATTTTTCTGTAGTGCATGTGTTTTGTCCTCAAAAGAATAGTTGAGATTCAGAGGAAACGTCCATGAAAAATTAACAGAAGAAAGAGATTCTTGATTAAAGAGTATTCAAAGCGTAACAATACAAACTGTTATTTTAAGATTAGTTGGGCTACACATCAAAAGGGAGATGTAACGAAAGGGTAGTTAACAACTAAGCCTTTAATCCTACATCACTCGATTCTGTTGCTGCAAAACGTGTGGTAACTTTTACAATATGAGGTTTAGGAAACTTTTTTTGTTGAGTAACTCCAAAAAAATCTTACTGTTTATTATAACTGAAATTATGGATAATATTTGGTTGTATCCAGATTGTCCGTGAACAAATGTTCTTGATGTTCACCAGAAGTACTTTTCCCGTTATCAGTTTTCTGAATCGTTTTACTTCAATTATAACTTGAAGTATTTTTAACTATATTATTTTTTTATATTACATACCAAATGTTGGCCGATGGGAAAGAAGTAAGGTCTACAAGCTCATTTTGATCTATCAATATGTACAGTCATAGGTGGCGAGAAAAGCCCCACCCTGAAGATGTGCAGTAAATGTGTCGAAATCTGTTATCAGTCTGTTAGATTATTCGAGCAGTAAACATCCGAATTCAGGACCGTATTCAGTTAGTGATGGAGTTTAAAAGTAAATTGCATAAACATATTTTAAATAGTCAAACTCGTGAAAATACAATTCGATTTCTCCCACCGGCCATGACTCAGTCCGGGGGCTGTACATGAGAAATAGATGTGCATTAGTGGCTTTATGAAAGACTGAATAGTCTTGAAGTTATTGAGAATTTGTTTGAGTTGTATATTTCGAACCAACTGTAAAATTGCTTAATATAGTTGTTCTTTTCAGCTATATTCTCTTTAATTTCCATTTGTATTGTTTTTTCAAGAGATTTCAAATCATTTTATATATTATTAGACAATAGAAGTCTGAACTAACGAAATTCGTAATTTCATCTACTTATGGAAAGATGGATAGAGGGTTCAAGTTTACAAAAGAAATTTTTGACAAATAAACCTTCAAATAATAATAATATGAATTTATTCAATTTTCAGTACAAGGATCAGTCAATAACAATTTGAATAATCTGAAAAACTTCAGGAAACCCACAAAGAACACCCTGTGCCAGAAGTACTGTTTTATTCACAATATTTATATTATAAATCAGAACAGTGAGAGTAAAACAGATTTGACAATTTAGGTTATGAAAATGTAAAGAGGTGGAAATCTTAAATGTTAGGAATGTTAAAATATAATCATGTATCTAAGAATGTATAAAGGTAGTATGTAGAAATAAAATGCAAAAAGGGAAAAATGGTAAATGTTAAAATGAAAATGCAAGCATCTAAAAAGAATAAAAATTGCAACAAAAGTTAGGCTGTAAAATGTGCTATTATTCGCCATGATCCTACAATATTGGAAAGAATCTTACACAAATATTTCGCAAATAAATGTCCCACTTCACTAGTTCCCATTTTAGTAGCTAGTTTCAACAGTGGTATAAATAATTTCAGTGATGAAGGAACACTTACTGAGGCCTTGCCTGTGCGTTCCTTCATTGTGTATGGTTATTGTCATCATTTAAAATAAAAAGCATAGTTCAGAGGTGAATAGTTTATTTACTAAACGTGTATTTCGACCAGCAAATTTGTAGCAAATGAACACAATCCAGTGAAATTCGATCTGTGGAGTCAAACAACTTGATGTGAGAAACAAAAGAAGATGTTTGCTCAGTTTTTAAATAGAAATTTAAAAATTGGAATCGTCCACCAGTACAGGTACTTTTTTAAATGCAATTGTTAACCTCAATTGATTTTCCAAATAAACAGACTTTCATTTGGGATATGAACGGTTGAATATTTTTGAAAGTGTAAGTACAGTAGGTACAAAATAGTGAAAAACTAGTTGTGGATTTTTTTATAAATAATTACAGCATAAGTTGTTTCTGAAGACTGAAGACACGACATATTTGATGGTATGTCCAAAGGTAAATCAGCATTTCACGCACGGCATTTAAATTTTCAAAATTGAATTGACAAAAATGTCGAACAGGTGCCAATATTTATTTTCGATTGTCAAAATTGTGAAACTGGAAGTATTCAGTTTTGTTTAAGTTGAGAATCACTGCATGATCTTGATTGATATTACTTAAAATTTATACAGTTTGCTGTACTTTCTACTTTATTTCTCCATTTACGCCAATGATGATTCTGAAAATCACATTATAATTATTAGTCTGTAACTTTAAAACCATTATCAAAATTGCATGTACTACACTATATGCCAGAAGCAATGCTTGCTTCTGCAAAAAAATATAAAACTAATACTTAACAAGTACATATCATCTCAAAAACACATTATTGACGTAATGGAGAAAACAAACTAGTGATTTGGGCGATTTCGATGCCATCTACCCAACTGCTAACCGCCGAAAGGCTGAATTAACGGTGCTGCTGCATCCATTCGAAGAGGGAACTTGGAACCTTCAATTTTCCTTAGTTTTCTCGGCGGAAAACGGTTTTGATCGAATTCATCACATACTCCCGTTGAACTGTGAACCACGGGAGTGTTTTGGGAAGAGACCAAGCTACCATGATCATTGTAGCTGCAGTTGAAACGGTTTATCCTTGGGTCACGGCTGTTGAAAAAGTTGGGCCGTGAGTCAGTATAATTGGCGTATTCACGCCTTGGAACACTTGGGTTTGAAGACCTGTGCCTTGGGTCAGACACTACGGGATGGCAGTGATTAATTTTAGTCTCACTAACTTTTTTTTGTTCTTCTACTGCGGTGAGATTTGTTGCTTTGCTCGACTCTATTTCTTCCATGACTTTTTTGGCTTTGGAGATGAGACGGTTTAAGGTTGCAGCTACCGATTCTTCTCCCATAGCCGGACAAATTTTTTTAAGGATATCTGTGGTGTATTTTATTATATCAATTGTATCACTACTTTCTTTATAAAATTTTTGAAAAACAAGATTCAGTTCAATGTGCTGAAGCTATCAAAAAGAGTAACTTGACTCCAAAAGCAGTTATCAACCCTTCTCTCTATGTATGGAGCTCCTAAAAAACAACGTGCTTCGATAATTTTTGATATGCGTATTTCATTAAAAATACTCGAAATGAAAAACGAGTGCAATCAGCTTGTCTTCTTTCAACCTCAGCGGCTGCTCATCAACATATTTTATGGATGAATTACCAAGTTCTAGAGTAGCTAGGTTAATAGTTAGACCCAAAAGACTGGGGGGGACTGGTCAACAATACATTAGAACCAGTTCAGACTTTACTCCCACCTGAGCCGGAAAAACTGCGAAACACAATTTTTTCCAATTGTAAAAAGAGTAAACGAAAGATTGTATTTATAATATACCTTGTTTCTGTGGAAAACGTTGTATAGGTGAAACCTCAAGACCGCTAGATGAGAGAAGAAATGAACATCTTGAAAGAAATTTCAAGAACGAAGTTTTAATGATGAACGAGAACGGGAATGTTTCCTATTTATTCATCAAACTCAAACAACTGTTCATGCAGCTTCAGTTTCGTAAGAAGGTATCATCTTTCCTGGTATCCCCAATTTCCTGGAGTCTTTGAAGTCCACTAGATACTCGTTAGGACAACAAGAGGATTGTTCCGAATTATTGGGGTTCTTAGGTTCTTGTTGAATACTCTTCGTGAGCAAAACAATAGCAAAATCAATACTCCTGACCGCTCCGGATTGAATGATTCCGTACAGTCCATCCCGTCTTGGGTTTGTAAATCTTTTGCTGGAAAAATCCTCACTGGTTTACTTTGTGGTAAATGTTCAAGAAGTACCGAAAACTTATGTGAATTTCTGGAACTTCATCTAGCTTTTCCTAATACGACTAATAACCAGTCCGTGCAAAGCTTATTGTTAAATCATCTGAAAATGGAATTTTTAACAGGTGATGATCGACTGTATTGTCAAACATGCGCCAA